CAAAGTTGTATCATCTGCATATCTCAGGTTGTTAATGATTCTTCCTCCAATCTTGATACCACGTTTTTCTTCATATAGTCCAGCTTCTCGGATTATTTGCTCAGCATATAGACTGAATAAGTGTGGAGAAAGAATACAACCCTGACGCACTCCCTTCTTGATTTTAAACCATGTAGTGTCCCCTTGTTCTTCGAACGACAGCCTCCTGGGCAAGGTACAGATTCCTCATGAGTACAATCAAGTGCATGGGAATTCCCATTCTTCTCAATGTTATCCGTAATTTATCATGATCCACACAATCAAATGTCTTTGCATAGTCAATAAAACACAAGTAAACATCTTTCTGGTATTCCCTGCCTTGAGCCAAGATCCATCTGACAACAGCTATGATATCCCTTGTTCCACGTCCTCTTATGAATCCGGCTTGAACCTCTGGAAGTTCTCTATCAATATACTGCTGCAAACGTTTCTGAATTATCTTCAGTAAGATCTTACTTGCATGCAATATTAATGATATTGTTCTATAATTTCCACATTCTGTGGGATCACCTTTCTTTGGAATGGGCACAAATATGGATCTCTTCCAGTCAGTTGGCCAGGTAGCTGTCTTCCAAATCTCTTGGCATAACTGAGTGAGTGCCTCCAATGGGACATCTGTTTGTTGAAATAGCTCAACTGGTATGCCATCAATTCCCGGAGCCTTGTTCTTTGCCAGTTCTTTCATTGCAGCTTTGACTTCTTCCTTCATTACCGTTGGTTCTAGAGCATATGCCACTTCCTGAAATGGATGAAGATCGATCAGTTCTTTTTGATACAGTGACTCTGTGTATTCCTGCCATCTTCTCTTGATGTTTCCTGCATCATTATTTTGCCCATAGAATCTCTCAAGATTGCAACTTGAGGCTTAAATTTTTTCTTCAGTTCTTTCAGTTTGAGAAAGGCCGAGCATGTTCTTCCCTTTTGGTTTTCAGACTCCAGGTCTTTGCACATTTCATTATAGTAATTGGCTTTGTCTACTTGAGCTGCTCTTTGAAATCTTCTGTTCAGCCCTTTTACCTTTTCGTTTCTTCCATTTGCTTTAGCTATTCTCTGCTAAAGAGCAAGGTTCAGAGTCTCTTCTGTCATCCACTTTGGTCTTCTCTTCTTTTCTTGTCCTTTTAAGTGATCTCTTGCTTTCTTCATGGATAATGTTCTTGATATCTTCGCATAATTCATCTGGCTTTCAGTCATTGGTGTTCAATGCATCAAATCTATTATTTAGATGATCTCTAAATTCAGGAGAGATATATTCAAGATCATACTTTGGCTCTCTTGAACTTGTTTTAATTGTCTTTAACTTCAAGTTGAATTTGCATATGAGCAGTTAATGGTCTGTTCCACAATCAGCTCCTGGCCTGGTTTTGGCTGAAGATATTGAGCTTTTCCACCACCTCTTGCCACAGATGTAGTCAATCTGATTCCTGTGTGTTCCATCTGGTGAAGTCCACGTGTACAGCCTCCGTTTGTGTTGTTGAAAAAAGGTGTTTGCAATGAACAAGTCGTTGGTTTTGCAAAATTCTACCATGTGAGTTCCAGCATTATTTCTGTCACCAAGGCCAAATTTTCCAACTACCGGTGATTCTTCTTTGTTTCCAACTTTTGCATTCCAGTCACCAGTGATAATTAACCCATCCTGATTGCATGTTTGGTCAATTTCAGACTGTAGAAGCTGATAAAATTCTTCAATTTCCTCATCTTTGGCTTTGGTGGTTGGGGCATAAATTTGAATAACAGTCATATTAACGGGTCTTCCTTGTAGGCGTATGGATATTATCCTATCACGCATGCATATGAGGTGACTGAAAATACCATGGCTTGGGTCAGGCACACCCTAGTCTTCAAAAGACATCTTTGTTCTTCAACACTTTAAAGAGGTCTTTTGCAGCAGACTTGCCCAGTGCAATACGTTGTCTGATTTCTTAACTGCTGCTTCCAATGGTGTTGATTGTGGATCCAAGTAATATGAAATCTTTGACAACTTCAATCTTTTCTCCATTTATCGTGATGCTGCTTCTTGGTCCCGTTGTGAGGACTTTTGTTTTCTTTATGGTGAGTGTAATCCAGCCTTGAAAACCCTATGGAATCCAGCTCTACTCTGCAACCTTTGAGGTCACCTTGAGTTGGCAATCAGTCCAACAGCAATGGGTCTGATTTCAGTGTTGGTATATGAGGATTGGCTACAGTTCTTTAAACTCCACTGTATCATTGAAAATCATCGTAGTAAAATGTCGGGGGCAGGGGGTTGCCTGCCATCAAAAGAGTTACAGGCAGCTTCCTTAAACTCTGCTCCAGCAGCAAAAGCAGCATTGGTCTTTGGCCAGTGCCAACATCACATGCTTGTAGCAACCATATAGATCAAAGCTAATGATCTAAATCAGGTCCAAGCGCCCTTTCAGAGAACTTCATACAAACAAGCAACCGAAGGTGCAGCAATGGTGAATAATTTTCCCAAGCTTGGCAGAGTTGAGGGGGAAAAAACCTACAAAGTCTGGCGTCAGGGTTTTTGCTCTGAGGCTCATTCCATACTGCCTCCCAATCTTGAAGAGCAATCTTCCCCTCTGAGAGTCTGGACTTCCCTGAGTTTCCATTTCACCTGTTTTGAACATTTAAATAACTGTTTATAGCATTGCCCTGGGCAAAACATATCACCTTTAATTTTCTATTATCTCATACTTCCTTTTATACCTTCTAGGTCAAATAGGATTCTTAAAATGTAGCCTTTATTTGGAAAATCATGCATAAAGTGCATTATTCTTGGGAAAAGAACAATTTGAATTTCCACAGTCCAGCCCAATCTCTTAACTCCACATCTTTTTTTGGGGGAATGGAGTGTTCAGAATGACAAGTGAAAGGCCAATGAGCCCCTCCTCCTGTTTAGAAGAGCCTAGTAAACCAAACCAGAACATCCTCTCTCCCCTAGTGGAAGCCCTGGTGGTGCAGTGGTTAAAGCATTCGACTGCTAACTGAAAGTGGCAGTCTGCTTCCGTAGAGTACATCCTTGGAAACCCTATGGAGTAGTTCTGCTGAGTTGGAATCAACTTTGATGGAAGTGGGTTTCTCCCCTAGTGGGACCATCTTAGGCTCATGGATGGTGAAGTATGTGTCATCCTAACTGTACTATTCTAACTAGTGATGTCACTAACACAGGGAATGCTGGGTAAATATATACTGAGTTCTAGAGTGTACGGCTGGTTTAGAGCCAAGGTCACAGATGAAAGGGTTAAAAGGTATCACCTAGCCCACTCCTGTCTATAGCACTAAGTCAGGGCCTGTGGCTGAACCCACTCAGAAATCCAAGAATCTTTAACAACTTTCTTAAAAAGAGGAGTCTGTCCTGTAGAATCCATTCTAGTTTTTCCCCAAGGCCGAAACATTCTCCCCCTACTTCCTTTTTAAGAATTCAGAACTGGCTCACACGTTCTTGTTTAAAACCTTTCATGGTTTGAAGCCTGGTATTTAAAAACGGAACTACAAGCTCCTTGATAACAAGGACCATGTGTCCTCCACAAGACCCTCATGGACACCTGGACTGACTGACTCATCTTTGAACCTTTTCTTACTGTTCTTAACGTCTAATGACTTAATCATGCTTAAAATATTCCTGTTAACTATGGAACCTGAAACTGAGTCCCATACTTTCCTAAAAGTTAACAAAGACCTTTTATAAAGAAAAAGAAAACCCACCCTTTTTTATTTCTCCTGCCTTTCCTTTCAAAAATGCTCAAACTCTCTTCCTAATTCAGTTGGGATTTACTACAGATAAGTCACTCTGTTGTCAGTTATGAGGATGAACTGAGGTCAAATAAATTTATCATTCATTTGTTTTCTTCATTCAGTTGCAAAAAATAAAGAAAGAAAGTTTGGTATAAAAGACCAGTTATCTGAAGAGCAAGCACTCCTACCACATTTGTGATGCCAATCTTCTACCGTGATTAGCTGTATTTCAGTAGGAACTTTGTTTAATGAGAAAACATGGCAAAAAGTCCAAAAGGTACTATGCAGGTCAGAAGAAGATATTTTTTTCTGAGGTCCTCTGACAATTGTTAGGTGCCCTGGTGGCATAGTGCCTAAGGCATTTGACTGCTAACCAGAATGCTGGCAGTTCAAACCCACCAGCCACTCCTTGGAAGGAAGGTTGGGCAATCTACTTCCATAGACATACTGCTTCGGAAACCCAAGGAGGGGTCACTATGAGTCAGAACCGACTTGATGGCAGTGAGGTTTTTTTTTTTAATTATTTTTTACTGACAATTGTTAATTCTATAGCCTTTCTAGTCATTGGCCAAGTCTTCAATCTGCCGTTCAGTTCCCTTTCTGACCACGAGGTGGCACCAGAACTTTGGATTAGTTATGAAATAAAACCTTCAACTAGTCTTTATTTGGGGGATTTGTTGTGAACCTTTAATTAATACCTTCTGGTAGCGTAGTGCCTAAGGCAATTGACTGCTAACCAGAAGGCTGGTGGTTCAAACCTATCATCCACTCCTCGGAAGGAAGATGGGGCCATCTACTTCTGTAGTGATACTGCCTTGGAAACCCAAGGAGGGGTCGCTATGAGTCGGGTCCGACTCGACAGCACATAACAACAACAAAACAATTTATTGGGAGCTCTGCTGGCATAGTGCCTAAGGTGTTTGACTGCTAACCAAAAGAACTGGCGGTTCAAACCCACCAGCCACTCCCCAGAAGGAAAACTGGGCAATCTACTTCTGTGGAGATTTACCTCCTTGGAAACCCAAAGCGGGTCGCTATGGGTCAGAATCAACTGGATGGCACTGGGTTTGGGGTTTTTTGGTTTAAACAACTCATTTGTCCTTATTCAGTGATCAGGAATATGGTAATTTCCTGCCATTATTCTTTCTTATAGTTTGTTCTTAGGAAAAGAACAGGTTAAAAAAAATACACAACTCATTCTTCAGCCTCTGGCCACCAGTGGTTACATCTTCCAGGCAGCTGTAGAACTAGCACCTTTTCTTTGAGCCACAGCAGCCTCCAGCAACACCAGGAGGACATCTGGACTTGGTATTACAAGACTCTTCTGCAAGCTTGAATGGATCTGTGATGACATCCTGTCAAAAAGCAAACCCAAATGAGAAGTTAAAGGTGTTTTGATGTACTCAAACACTAATACTGTAGTTGTATTTCATTTTGGGTGCTTTACTGTTAACCAAAAGGTCAGTAGTTCAAACCCACCAGCCACTCCATGGAAGGAAGACGGGGCAATCTACTTCCATAACTCAATGGGGGTCACCATGAGTTGGAATCAACTTGATGGCAGTGGGTTAGGGTTTTTTTCCCCCCCACTAAGTTGAAGCAAGACATTACATAACACAAATCCTACTGGCATGATCTCAAGTGCTGAGTATTTTAAAAATGCAATTCTTTTAATAGCAAAATACATTTTGCTTGTCAGTATTAAAAAGAATAAAGAGAGTACTCCAAACAGTCTTCACTGAGTCAGTCCTGTAGGGTTTATCACAGAGGGCTTCAATGAACACGATAAGAACGTCATCACTCAAGAGCACAAGGTTAGATTTCTAGGACACACAGCTGCTTCCGTTTTTAAATCTTTCTTCAGTGTTAGTTGTCCCCATTTCACAAACATGAACTTGATCTCAGGACATTGGCACCTCTGCAGCGGAGAGCAGCAGGGCAGAATAGAAAGGAGGCTCTATGCCGGATACGCCGGTTCAGATGCGTGGAATGTTACAGCTCACAGCTGGGGTCAAGAAACCGCACTTGGGCTGCACGCAGCCAGAACAGAACAAGACGAGCTCCACTGACGGTTTTCTGCAGCAACAGTTGTTTCTTTCACTGAATGAATTTTTTGTTTCTTTCACTCTGGTAAAATACATGCAGCAGAACATTTGCCATGTCAACCCTCTTCACGTGTACAATTCAGCAACTCCGTTTTTACAGCCCAAGTACACTACAAATGCTGTGGCTGGAGGAAACAAACCAAAGCCAACCCACTGCCATCAGGTCACTTCCAACTCATAGCAACCCTGTAGGACAGAGCATAACTGTCCCCTAGAGTTTCCAAGGCTGTAAATCCTTACAGAAGCACACTGCCACATCTTTCTCTCATGAAGCGGCTGGTGGGTTCAAACTGCTGACCTTTCGGTTAGCAGTCAAAGGCTTTAACCACTGCACCACCAGAACTCCTGGCTAGAGGAAAGATGCTGTCTGTATTTGTAATCTTCTGACAGCTTTTGTAGCCAGTATTCAGGGAACCAGGCTCCAGAAGAATCAGACTGATGAAAAACTTCCTTCAAAATAAGTGCCGATTCTTCCCAGAAACATGATGCTACCAGTGAACTCTCAAGCGTTGTAAGATGTTTAATGAATTGAAAATAATCAAAAGTCACATTTCCCTACCAAAAAAAAAAAATCATCTTTTGGAAAAAGAGAGCAGTATCAACAGCTGAGTGATCAAGAATGTAACAGCAAGCAAAAGAAAGCAATCCTTAGCTCTAGATTTGGCTTCTATGCTTAGCAAGGGCTTGAGCCCTGCTGCTGAAATTGGCCAAAGAGAATGTGTTAGTTTTTGGCTCTAGGAGTCTCCTCTCAGGCATAATTAACCTTCCCCAACTATACACTTCCCCTTTTCTGAGAGTCCTTTTACAATAAGCTTTACTTTTTAAAAGTAAGTAGGCTAGAAGTACACCTTGGGAGCTGGGGGTTTGGGATGTTTGGAACATCCTGAAGTGGCACTCCTACAGCATTTGAACAGCTGGTCAGAAACAGAAAATAGACAGACTTCCCAAATCTTCCCAATCTTTACTTTTTTTGACCTTTTTTTTTTTTAAAAAAAAAAAAAAACAACTTGTGATTTGAGTGAAAGTGTTCGGAGCACATTGGTTTTCCGTTCAATAATCCACATACATTCTGTTTGGTGACCTTTACTGCAGTCCCCACGTTGTAACAGAATTCTTCCCACTTCCTCCCTAGACTCACCCCTTCCCTTGCCCTCCCTCCCCATCCCCTCCTACCCTCCCTGAGCAGACGCCGTCCTCTTCATCTCCTATGCTGTTCTAATGAGTAATAAGCTTTGCTCTTAAACACGGCTTATGAGGTAATGAAAGGAGTAGAAAATAGCATAAGAGTTACTGAATCAATCCATGTATCCCAATTGCTACAAAATATAAACAACAGAGAGGAAACATACATGGAGAAAGGCTACGGAATTTCTGAGATCCAAGGAATCCTGCAGAGAAGGTCAGAACTCAAAACACTTAGAACAGTCTCAAGCAACTAAGAATTTTAGTAAGTACAAGTCCATAATCGTAACTGCCTCTACTTTTGGTGTATGTATTCTGGGTCAGGCATTGAACTAAGGATTTTATGTATATCATCTCATTTGATTCTTACAACTGAGCACAACAAGTGACTGTTACCTCCCTATCACAGAAAAGGACACCAACATTTAAGGTTAGAGAGCTTACTGAAGATCACATGGAAGTGACAGAGCCAAGAGCTGAGCCTATGCTTTCTGAACCCCAGGCCATGTACTTGAACCCTGTGGTGTGCCACAGCGTATCAGTCTCTTACTCCCTGGGCTTCCAGTATTCAGTGCCTTGATGTCATCACTTCTCTGTTTGGTGAATGTTGGGCAAAGTTCTGTCAGACAAAATAGTCTTGAAATCCATCCCTAAGCCTATTCTAAATAATAAAATGTTATCAATTAGTAAATGGGTTAATACAATAACAATGACAGCACAGTATGGGCGAAACGGCACAAATGGATAAACGAGAGGTACCAGTATCCGTCACAACTACTTATCTACCTTCCTCACATGGTAACTATGAGGTCAACAGAAAATGCTTCTGAAAATGGAATAGCAATGTTCCCATCTCTGCAGCAGTTCAGAATACCAAGATAAAATAGTTCAGAAAATAATCATTTCACAGAATAGAGGAAGACTAACCCAAATATATATTTAAGAAATTAGAATATGAAAAAGTTAGTATTTTAAAACAGTGGAGAAATGATAATTATTTAATAAATGAGATAGGAAAACGTCAAGTAGTTGATATTTGGAAAAATAGTCCCTCCTACCTCAGTATTTATTCTTTACAAAGAAAAATCCAGATGGATTAAAAATTTTAATGTGAAAAAAGAAGGCAGAAAGTACTAGAAGAATTTTTATAACCTTGGATTTGGCAATGGTTTCTTAGATATGACACCAAAAACACATGCAACAAAATAAAAAGGTAAACTGGACTTCATCAAAATTAAAAGCCTTTGTGCATCAAAGGACATTATCAAGAAAGTAAAAGTACAACCCACAGAATGAAAGAAAACACTTGCAAATCATTTATCTGATAAAGTCCAGTATATAAAGACCTCTTACAATTCAAGAACAATAAATAAGGCAACCAAACAATGAGAAGGAAAGGGAAAGGAGCAGTTACTGCTTAAGGGGCGATACCCATTTGGAAAGGGAGAAGGATGACCGCTGTCCATGTGGTGACAACCACACACGGTGACTTTAATGTCACCGAACTGTACACACAAGAAATGTTGAAATGGAAAATGGTTTGTTAAATACGTTTTTACCACAATTAAAAAAAAAAAAAGGGCAAAGGACTCGAGTGGACCTTTCTCCAAAGAAGATACACAGATGGTCAATAAGGACATGAAAAGGTGTCCAACATCACCCGTCATCAGGGAAATGCAGATCCAAACCACAACGAGACACCACTTTGCACCCACTAGAATGGCCATCATCATAAAAACAGAAACTAAATGTGTGCCGGGATGTGGAGCAACCAGAATTCTCATGCCTTGTTGATGGGATTACAAAATGTGTAACTGCTGTGGAAAACAATTTGGGAGTCCCTCAAAAATGCAAATATAGAATCACTATGTTGTTGTTGGGTCAAGTCGACTCTGACCCACAGCAACCACATGAACAACAGAACAAAACACTGCCCTGGCCTGTGCCATCCTCACAGGTTGCCACGTTTGAGCTTCGATGACCTGGCAGTTCTACTCCTAGGGATACCCAAGGTATCCAACCCTAAACGTGTGAATGTCTGTAGCAGCGTTATTCATAACAACTCAAAAATGCACACAACCCAAACATCTATTGACTGATGAATGGATACACAAACTGTGGTATATCTATTTAATGGAATATTAGTCAACCATAAAGAGGAATGAAGTACTGATGCATGCTACAGCATGGATGAGACTTGGAAACATGCTAAGGGAAATAAGGCAGCCACAAAAGGCCACATACGATTCCATTTATATGAAATATCCAGAATAGGCAAAGCCACAGAAACAAAAAGGAGATTGTTGTTGTTGTTGTTATGTGCCGTCGAGTTGGCCCCAACTCATAGCGACCCCTCCTTGGGTTTCCGAGGCAGTAACACTACGGAAGTAGAATTGCCCAACCTTCCTTCCGAGGAGTGGCTGGTGGGTTTGAACCGCCAGCCTTCTGGTTAGCAGTCAAGTGCTTTAGCCACTATGCTACCAGAGCTCCCAAAAAGGAGATTAGTGGTTTCCAAAGGCTGCTGGGAGAGGGGACTAGGAAGAATCTGCTTCATGGATACAGTTTCTACTTGAGGTGATGGAGATGTTCTGGAATGCCATAGTGGTGATGGTTGTACAACATCGTCAAAGTACTAAAAGCCTCTAAATTGTACACTTTAAAAAGGTTAAATTAGTGCATTTTAGCTCATTTTTAAAAGTGCTAGAAGAAAATATAAATTTATAGTGTTGACATGAGGCAAGTGTTTCTAAGCATAATATCAAAGGCAGAAACCATAAAGGAAATGACTACATAAAAATTGAACAGTGCATGAAAAAAAAAAGCAAATCAAAAGATAAATAACATTCTGAGGAAAAATATTTGCAACATGATAGACAATTTCATACAAAGAAAATTTTTAAAGGGCTAATAACTCTCTAATAGAAATGGTTAAACTAATTAAATAGAAAGTTTACAATGGATGATATAAATGTTCAATAAATATGCCAGAAAGTTCAATATATTCAAAATAAAACATTATTTTTCACCTATCACACAAACAAATACTTTTTTAAAAATAATACCCAACGTTGGCAAGAGTGCAGGGAAAAGGTATTTTCATACATTACAGATATGGATACTGGCACCATCTGTCTGGAGTGCAGTTTGATCATATTATTCACAGACTTAAAAATACACATGTATAACTCACATCCTATGGCGTCCTACTCTGCACACGGGCTTGTCATGAGTTGGAATCGATGCTACGGCAACTAACGGTAAGTTATATATATCTTTAAAGGTAGCTCTTCATTTTTAGACCCCTTTGAGAACCTGATGACAATATAAACCATCTCTCAAGAAAAAAAAATTATATACACATGTATACATGCACACCCAGAATTTTTAATATAATTTAAAAGGTTCATGGATGTCTCCAAGTCCATGGATATACCAAATTAGGAATCTCTGTATTTTCAGAATTAAAAAAGTGAAGTGATTAAATTAATTCAAATCATTTTATAGATATTCATTTTATAGGTACAAATATGCTAGAGATAAGTTATAGGTGCCCAACCGCAAAAAAAAATGTTTGTTTGTTTGTTTTTCCACAGTGACCCCTTCTTGGGTTTCTGAGGCCGTATGTCTACGGAAGTACATTGCCCAGTCTTCCTTCCAAGGAATGGCTGTTGGGTTTGAACCATCAGCCTTCTGGTTAGCAGTCTATGCCACCAGAGTGCCCTTATACAAATATGCTAGAAATAAGTTATAAGTGGACAACTGCAAAACACAATGATTTCTCCCCCCTGTGATAAGCACAGTGATTTTTTTTATCGCTGTGAGGATGGCACAGGTCTGTGCGGTGTTCTGTTCAGTTGTACATATGGTTGCTATGAGTTGGACTCGACAGCACTGAACAACATATATAACACATCAAATTCACCTTTGTAACCATTTTTATGCGTACAGTTCAGTGCCATTGATGACATTCACAGTGTAATGGTGAGGAACCACCAGGCAGCATGATGATTTTTTAAGTGATTCTCTGAGGAATGGAATTGAAAGTCAGCAAACCTTTGATTCTAAAGCAGAACAACTCCCAGATGGTGGCGACCTCTCTCCAACTGGTCTCATCAGAAAATCTTGGGCAAAACGTGAGCCCTTCAAAATAGCTGCTGTTTCTTCATCTACTTCAACAATCTCACCTTCCTGAAGGGTAGTATGAGAAACACACAGTAAGAGAGGCAATTTAGTCTTGATAGAATAAAAATGCCCACAAATTTCTAGGAAATGACATTTCAGAATAAAACACATACTTGCCGACATAGGATACACTCCTGTTCACATTCTACTGCTAGTTTCAAGTTTATTTCCAGTTGAAACTGACCATGTCATACTTGTTTTCTTTTGATGGCAATGCTGAAAAAAGGACACTCATTGCTGCACTGTCTGGTCTCTGCCCAGGAGTCTATGGGAAGCATAAGCACTCGACTACCAGCCAAAAGGTTGGTGGTTTGAACTACCCAGGGGCACCTCCTACCCAGAGACAAGCCTGGCAATCGGTTCCCAAAAGGATCTCTCAAAACCCTATGCAACAACTGTTCAACAAGACAGAAAATAACAAATGCTGGCGAGGTTGTGGAGAGATAGGGACTCTCATACACTGCTGGTGGGACTGTAAAATGGTACAACCATTGTGGAAAGCAGTATGGCGATTCCTTCAAAAGTTGGAATTAGAAATACCA